AAGAGTCTGGGCGCAAGGAGAGAATAGCTCTCGAAGATTGCAGCAACAAAGAACGAGTGTCCGACGCACGTTCAAAAGTCTCTTGTGGATGTGAAACTTCTTTTTCAGAACAAACGGTGAGAATGGCTGGGGATTGACATGTCGCAGTTGGCCGCAATCCATTTCCGCGACAGGTGGCATCAAATTCATTGGCCTTATACCCAGTATATAGATAGAACATGGCATGCATGCTTGCTCGTGCCTAGCTTAAGCCATCCTTCTTTTTACCTCAGAGCTTTCCTTCTAGGCCCAGCATTTGCTGGGCTTCAAGTTTGCCTATAGACTTGGTCTGTAGGCTTCTGGTGAACAAAAAAATTGTTGTTGATCTTCAACAACCTGTTCTTCTTCCCACGCGTCTGGTGCACCCACAAGTTCATGGCCGGGAGCACGGTGCGGTGGGCGACGATAAACAGTCATCCCCATGCCTGGGACGCTCCTTTACTCTTCCACCTGGGATGCAAGGAACTCACCGTCAGCTGTGACCGGAACAAGAACAGGATTATAAAACTGGCAGTACTATTACAAGCGTAAAAGGCAATGAAAACTGGTAGGTTGGCAACCTATCTTAAACCACTGTCATCTACCTTATCAAAGGACCTGAAGCGCATTCTCCACCTCATAGGCGAGCATTAACTGCATTCTGAGGGCTTTTGGTGCCAGTAGGTTCACAACCTACGGCATTTTCTGTCAGTGTCATCCTTTTCATCGCCCTGCAGCGCAACCTACCACCTCATAAGCCAGCAACATGTGCATGTTGCTGAAGCACAACATACCAACTCATAAAACTGCAATATGTGCATTCTGAAGGAAATGGAAGCCAGTGGGTTGGCAGCCTACAGCATCTTAAATTCAACTCTTAAACTTAAACCAATGTCATCTATGTCTAATATACCTTGTCAAAGGCCCTGAAGCGCAAGCGACCCACCACCTCACAAGCCAGTACTATGTGCATTCTGCAGGTTATGGAAACCAGTAGGTTGGCAACCTACAGCATCTTAGAATCTTAGACCAGTTTCATCTATATACCTTGTCAAGGGCCTTGAAGCCTACCACCTCACAAACCAGTACTATGTGCATTATGGAGACAATGGAAACCAGCGGGTTGGCCATCTACAGCGTCTTATATCACCATCGTCTACTTTATCAAAGGCCATAAGCGAGAGTGTTGGCAAGGTCGGCAACCTCATAAACCAGAGCATCCTCAAGCTGTGCATCCTTAAGGGCTTGAAAAGGGGGTGGCAATTGACAACTTCGCGACAAACCAAACTCAGCATCAACCCAATGGCCAGTAGCCAGCCCTACTGGACTCATTACAGCTCCAATTGATTGCAAGGGATCAGGAAAGTCAAACTTAGCATATTGTTGACAGAGAACATCGCACTACGAGCCCTAACCCTACCATCAACAGTGGGGCAATCCCATGTCCCGATCTGTCCCATGGATTGCTATCAGTATCTATAGTTGTTCTGCCCCTACTTTAGGAAGAATGTCCTCGTGTTCCATCTTCATCCTGACACGAGCATTCAACCAGCATTCAACCTGGCGATCCTTCTTCGCCTCTTTCTTCCTGGCGTCCATGACTTCATGCCCGGACCGCTCCTCAGTCCTCCTCGTCCCCCGCCACGGCTCGCCTCACTACCGGGGCGTCATCCAGAAATTGCCCAGTCGGGAAGCCTCGGCCAGAGTAGCCCGGGCATGCTATGTGAGCTGTTGATCGAAACCAATACGCATTTGGTTGAGAGCTTTGGACTCAGCTTCAGGCAGGCTTCAGCTGGGCTTCAAAATCATCCAGATGTGCACACACTGCCCCTAAGAAGTCACCACATCCGACAAACAAAAACATGACATGCAGGATACTCGATTGCATGACTCGCGCTCAGAAAGCGCCCTTGCGAGTTCAAAACGACACGCACCTGTTGTAGGTTGCATATCTGGCATACTGACCTCTGTGCAATTCAGGAACAAAGCGCATCTTGGATAGCAACATAAATCTCATACAAACCTACACAAACCGTTTACAAATCCACGTTTTGACTCCTTGTGCGTTTTTCATCCAAATGTCTGAGCCCTTCGCCGCTTGCTGTGTTTGTGGAAGGCTCAGCGTCAGCGGCCTGATCTCGTTTTGTCCGCTGGTCTTGGCAACACCAGACGTCCCGGGATCCCTGGGATGGACGAAGGGCTGCAAGGGCTGAAGAACCGAGATCCGGGCCCAGGTCCAGCTCCAGTGAAGTAGTCATCGCGCAGAGAGATCTTCACATTGATGGTGGGCCTAGTAGAACAGAGAGTTGGAGACCAGACATGTCTGTTTGCTGCGAAGGCCGGCTGCCAGCTACGTCTCATGGCCTGCAGGTGGAATTGTACTGCTTGTGCTCCTCACGCATGCCGGTGTCCGACACCCACTTCTTCTGCATCTCCAGCCTACAAGGAGGACGATCGTGTGGCGAGTTCCAGCGCGACGCCGCCCAGCCGAAAGAGCGCTCCGGTAGCATCGCGCCTACCCTCGAAGCCGTTGGGGAAGATATCAGCACTGGGGACCTGCCGAGCAAAGCAGAGTTCGAAGCCACCACACACAGGACCGATGTAGGCGGATGTGTGTATATGGATACACACAAATTATGTGTATATATATATACACATAAAGTAAAACTAGCAAATGGCCCGAGAGCGTTTAGTTGTAGAGTTGCTCTGGTGTAAGGTATGCTTGCATTACGATGAAACAGTAAAGTAAAGAAAGTTATGAGATGGTTTCGAGAGAACGTGAAAGAGAGGAAGAGAAAAGGATGAGATGAAAAGGATGTTTAGAGGAGGAGGGGAGCAAGGATGTCTTCCAGTCGCTTGATACAAAGCAGGTTTGTATGCGTTTTGATGAATACAAGCCATGCGTGGGCTCAGGTCCCGCCCAAAGGTGTCCCCAAGGCGATGGGCCTATGCAGTGCAATCCAGAGGACGTGCAGAAGCAAGGGACACTCAGACAACCCACTCAAGGACACTCAAGGGCACTCGCGAATGCTCTAGAGTGTCCTTGCGTGTCCCTGACTGGTCTATTGATTGTTCTTCCGTCATTTCAGTTTAATCATTGTGGTTCTTCTTAAGTCTTCCCTCTTCTCTTCTCGTCTCTTCTCTTCACTTCAATTCACTTCTCTTCTATTCTCTTTGTTCCTCTTGCTAGGTCTACCCCATCTATGAAACATGTATTTTTCTTAAGCCCTCCTTCTCTCATTAATATACTTTGTCGTCAGCCTTTCTTATTTGTCTGCCTCTTTCTTCTTGATTCAGGCTGCCTCATCTTATTGACCGTAGCCCTTTCCTTCAGAGGCATCTCTCCTATTGACCAGTAATTATGTCTACTCTTGAGGCGCCTTCTTTAACTATTATGTTCTCTTCTTGTCAACCATGTGGTTTCTTCTTCTTCTTCTTCTTCTTCTTCTTCTTCTTCTTCTTCTTCTTCTTCTTCTTCTTCTTCTGTGTGTCAATGTTTCTTTTGCTTCTTCTTGAAACTTGCAGCTTCCTTCTCATATTGACCCGTTTGTTTCTTGTGCTGCTTTCTTCTTTCTGTTCTTGTGTTTCTTCTTGAAGAATCCTTCTCTTACAAAGGCCTTCCTCTTCTTATTAACCCTTCTTTTTCCTCTGGAATGGTGCACAGGCTGAGTAGTTCTTTCACATCTGCACATCTGTCGGTCTTCCTTTCTTTCTTTCTATCTTTCTTTCTTTCTGTCCGTCTTCCTTTCTTTCTTTCTGTCTTTCTTTCTGTCTTTTTGTCTTTCTGTTATTTCTTTTGTTCCTTC